TCTAAGTAGGATCCTATTTTATTTATTCTTAAACTTGTGAAGTTGGTAAGCAGGAAGCTCTGTGGGGAAGTACATAAAGGGGGAAACTATGCTGCTGGCAGGTGACTCGCCCAAGATCACTCACCTAAATCACAACAAAGCTCACGACATCTGTCCAGCCAATTGTATAATGTCCAGGAGGTGGAATCCAGCCAGCTAATACATACCAGCTCCCAAACTGCTTGCTTCCAGGAGGGCTTCTGGGTGCTGAAGCAGGGGTGGCTGGGCAAGCTGGGCGGCTGGCTCTGGGCCGCCTTCCTCATTTCAACTACCACAGATCCCTGTAAAGTGCCAGGGAAGGGGGGGCACTAGAGTCTGTACTGCATCTTATTATGGGAAAAAAAGGATCTATGGGTAAGAAACAACCTTTCAAAACCTCTCTTGTCTAGACTACAAACCATTAAAGGTGTTTGTCCTTGGGCAATTTCTTAACCTCTTTGGCCTTCCTCTTCTCATCAATAAAATGAAGCTGGTGACACCTGTGGGAAAGCAGTAGCTATGATGGCAGCTGGCAGAGCCCTCTGCAGAGAACAAGTCATGGGACCACAGGACCCAGAAACTTTTAACCCCAGACACCAGGCTGTCTGGAAAAGAGGCACATCCTGTCCCTTCCTCAGCCCCACCTGTCCTGGGCACAAACTGGACTTTAATCTCCAGGCCCTCAGACATCACGTCGGGATCAGAAAGTAAAGACTTCATTTCATCTCTTTCTCCTCCCACCCCAAAGCAGGGCTTCATTTAAACTCTCTGCCCACCACTAAAATTCCCAAGGATTAGATGAGATCATGTACATAAAGATGCACAGGGCAGCTCCCACCTCACTCACGGGAACTGTGACTATTAGCAGCAATAATATCACACACAGCTAGCTTTCAGTAATCCAGGGCTTGACATAAGCTTCAGGAGGGGAACTTGGCAGGACTGCCCCAGTCCTACAGGCCTCCAGCGGGGTGCCTTTGGGCAATCACTTAAATTTCTTTGGACCTTGACTTCCTCTGCTTAAAAAGTAAAAAGCAAAGGTTTCCCTTTTTCATCTGTAACCTGAAAAGATTTCCACGACCTATAGAACAAACAGGGTCACTCAACAGTACTGGGATACTGAGTCCAAAGCCAAGTCTTGTCCTCCTCTGTAACCCAGGGCCTCACCAGCGTCCCTTAACCAGTAACACCCCAAGCAGACACCCTGGGCTCCTTTCTACTCATTCCCCACACTGTTTCTCATACTGGCTCCCCTCACCACTGACTCTGCTCAGGCCCCACCATTGCCAACATCAACATCCAGAAATTGGCTCGGCGCCTATAGCACAGCCAGCTAAGGCGCCAGCCACGTACACCTAAGGTGGCGGGTTCGAATCCCCAGCCCGGACGCCAAAACAACAATGACGGCTGCAACCAAAAAATAGCCGGGTGTTGTGGTGGGCACCTGTGGTCCCAGCTACTTGGGAGGCGGAGGCAGGAGACTCGCTTGAGCCCAGGAGTTGGAGGTTGCTGTGAGCTGTAATGCCATGGCACTCTACCCAGGGGGACAGCTTGAGGCTCTGTCTCAAAAAAAAAAAAAAAAAAAAATCCAGAAATTTCTCCAGCAGCCTCCTACTGAGTAGGTCTGCCTCTGTTCTTCTGTTTCTTTTAGCGATGCCCCCCTCCCCTTGTGTGGCCCACCCCTTCTTGCATGACCCCAGAGCTTGCTTTGCACCTTTTGTACCCGTGTTTGACCTCCAGCAAGTTATGGTTACTGTGGAGATGAAGAGTTAATCACCCCACAGTCCTTAGAACAGTCCTTAGCAAGATCTCCCTCCGGGAGCCAGTGGCTGCCCCAGCCCAGAGTCCTCACCTAGCTACCAGTCCTCCACCTTCCCCTACTGAAGTTAACCTTGTTGGCAACTTATGCACCTTTTACTTTAGCACTCAATTCCCCATTCCCCGTTTCCAAGTTTCTCTTCCCAAATGGACAGTAAGCTCTTTGGAGGGAGAAGCCACATCTGGTCCCATCCTTCAAAACAACGGTCCCAGGAGGCTGCCCGGTCACATTCAAGACAAGCCGCAGAACAAGGAGGAGGAACTTGCCGCCTCCAAGTCCCTACGCCACTCAATCGAGAGGTCCTGCCTAAAAGAGGTTTGGGGGGGCGTGGCCCGTGGGTGGGGTTTCTCCCACTGGGGAAAGGCAGAAGGGAGCGAGTGGGATTTTGAGCCAAAGTCCTGGGTTTAAATCGTGGTTCTGACTCAGCTGTCCACTATGGGTAGGTTACTTCTCTGAGTCTCAGTTACCTCACCTATGAAATGGGCGAAACAGGATCTGACAGGTGTATGAGGAGCGCTAAGCACAGGCACCCATCTTTATAAAATCACTCGGGGCCATAGACGGCAGGCGGCGGCGGGATGGTGCTCGGGAAGGAAGCTCGCCCGCCGCCTCCCAGGCAGCGGCACCGCCACCCACTGATTTCCCCCTAGGGGAGAAGGAACTACACCAACATCTCGCACCCCACTAGGAGAAACAAATCGTGGAGGATACGGGCCCCTAAGGGGATCTGGATACAGGTCGCCAGATTCTTTGCTCCGAGGTGTCCATCCTTCCCAGAGAGTCCACCCCACGCCCAGCACCCCCCAAAAGTCCCCGCTCCCAGAAAGTTCTAGCTTCCCAAGAAACGCTTCCTCTTACATAAGCCTCACTTTGCAAGTTGATTCTAGCCGCCCAACACCCCAGACCCGCCTTATTTCTTAAAAAGGAGGGACACCTATGGTTAACCTAACCGATAGGTCGTTAGGGACCCCAGACAGGTGCAGAAAACTTCCCACGGAAGTTTGGGAGCTTTGGGCACAGAGGAAGTCCGCGCCGCAGAAGCCGCACTGAGGGCGGGCGCCCCAGGTCGCTTCCCGCTCAGCAGCTTTGCCGCAGGGGGCGGGCGCACGTGAGGCGTTCGCACCCCCGGCCCGAGCCTGGAACTCGCCGTGGGTGCGACCCTCCCTTTCTCCTCCCAAGCTGTAGGGCAGCGCCCGCAACTAGTGCCCGCCGGGCCCCGGCTACCTGCACGGCGATGGCAGTCATGCTGCCGGCGTGGCCGCGAGCTGCCGCCTGGCTCCCTCTCGCCGTGGGGCTGTTGCCCGGCCGCCGGCTCCCGACGTTTCCCAGGGGGGGGTCCACGACCGCGTGCTAAGCCGGGCAATTAACCCCGGGGCGGGATCGGCCGCCCGGCCGCCCTGAGCGGCTGGAGTAACGCTGAGTCAGCTAGGGCGGCCGGGAGGAGCCCCCGAGAGCAGAGGGGAGGATCCAGCACGCAGTGGGAGGGATCCGGGAGCCCGAGAGAGGAGGATCGAGAGGCACGCCTTCGCTCCGGAACCCTGGAGGGCGCAGATTGCTCGAGGGCCGGACGGCGACCCAACCCGCAGAAGATTCGATTCCAATCTCGGCTTGCTGAGTGGATCCTGGGGGGAAGCGGTAGGGTCCAGAGGGTGGAGGCGAGCGCCCAGACGCTGCCACCTTTCCCACCTGCTGTGTGGCGTTGGGCTGTCTGATTAACTTCTTGAGCCTCGGTTCGTGGTTCGTGAGATACTATAAACGAAAGGTCAGGGTCTTGCTGGGGGCCCTTGTTAAGCGCGAACGGAGTGGAACCTTTTGGGGGTAATCCTCCTTGTGTCCCTAAAACCTTGTTTTCCTTCTGGTCATCCCAGGATCTACCCAAAAGGCAAATATGCCGAACAAATGCAATTATTATTTCTCCATTTTGATGGAAACTGAGTTTTTAAGGAGGCAATAATAAAGGTCCCCACCCCCCAAAATGGTAGAGGTGAGAGGAAGGTCCAGGGCTGGAAAATTCCTACCAAAACAGCCTCTCGCCACTTTTTCAGTTATGGGGAAGTGTGTGGTGGGAGAGAGAGGGTTCCTGCTTAAGGTTAAAACAAGACCTCTAAATGGGGTAAGTTAAAATATCAGTCTCATTCTGGCTGGCAGCTCCCCTGTGACTTATCCAAAGACGTTCAAATGCACTTACCTTTATTTTCCTGCTGGAGCCCAGTGAGAAAGAGCAGAAGTTACAATTGTCTATGCATCTGCCACTTAGATGTTCACTAAATTCCATCCCTGCGGCCTGAAAGGCCTAGTAAATTCCTTTAACCTGGTCTTGGGGCTTGAGAAATGGGGGAGCAGGGAGGGAACACCTAGGTACAGAAGGCTTTGCCACTGTCTTCCACATTCATTCAGAGTCCTCGGGGCAGCCAGGACTCCACTTAACTGGCAGTCCCAGTCTGGGTCTGAGTTGTTGTCACCATGCTATGTCAGAATCCCCTGTTTTGTTTTTGAGTCAGAGTCTCACTATGTCACCCTCAGTAGAGTGCTATGGCATCACAGCTCATAGCAACCTCAAACTCTTGGGCTCAAGTGATCCTCTTCCCTGAGACTCCCAGTAACTGGGACTACAGGTGCTAGCCACAATGCCTGACTAATTTTTCTATTTTTAGTAGAGTCAGAGTCTCACTCTGGCTCAGGCTGGTCTTGAACTCCTGAGCTCAAGCAATCCACTGTCCTCAGCCTCCTAAAAGTGCTATACAGCATGACCCAAGGTGTCTGGCCTGGAGGGTTTGTCAAAACACAGATTTCTGGGGCTTGGCACCGTAGCACCGTGGTTGCAGCCAGATACACAGAGGCTGGGGGGTTTGGACCCGGCCCTGGCCAGCTATACATAGGATGGGCAGCACCTGTGACTCAATGGGTTAGGGTGCCAGCCCCATATACCGAGGGTGGTGAGTTTGAACCTGACCCTGGCCAAACTGCAACAAAAAAATAGCTGGGTGTTGTGGCAGGCGCCTGTAGTCCCAGCTACTCAGGAGACTGAGGCAAGAGAATCACCTAAGCCCAGGAGTTGGAGGTTGCTGTGAGCTGTGACTTCAGAGCACTCTACTGAGGGTGATAAAGTGAGACTCTGTCTCTCAAAAAACAAACAAACACAGATTTCTGGGCCCCACTCCGGAGTTTCTGACTGAGTAGGTCTGGGTGGGGCCTCAGGTGATCTTGGTGTTTCTGGTCTGGTTCTTCTCAAAGGCCAAGACTTTGAGAACCACTAAGCTAAGGTAAAGGGCAACTGTCCAGGCCCCACCAGCTGATCCCCCCTCTGCTCTCACATCTTCCCTCCATGGCCCTCATCTGCCTCCTTCTTAAGGGTCCCAGAAACCAAGCACTCTTCCCTCTACAGCTCTGGGCTATGGAGGAGGGGTGCACATGGTAAAGAAAGACCTGGCCCTGTTGGAGGTCCCTGACCCTAGCCCCAGAATGCTTTGTGGGAAGGACTTTCTGTGTTGCAGCGTTTCACCTACCAGGAGGCGATGGTCTAGGATTAAAATCAGGAGGAACTGTCAGGCTGGGTAATCTACACCCACTGTATATGCCTTCTGAGATTCCGTGTATGTGGTTAGGAGTGTTTGAGAGTATGTTCCCTATTGCCTTCCTGGTAAGAATAGAAAAGGCTTGAATCAGTAGAATTTAGAGTGACCTGTCTTGTCAGCAAGACAGCTGGAGAAGCAGAAATGACTTAGGAATCATAAAGAGGAAGTCACTTTCTAGTTCTGTCATCATATACTCATAAGAAGACAAGGGACATGGGGCCAGAGTCTAGGTGGAATTTAAGCTGAGATTTCTAAGCTCTCAGACCCTCCTGGGTACTTCCTTGGTTTGGGAGCTTGGGGCAGAGCAGGGAGTAGCAGCACCCCCTCCCTTAGTGTACTCCCCACCCCTAGATAGACAAGCAAATGAATCCTAGGAGATTAATGTCCTAGAGAGTTTTAGTGCGGTGAGGGTCATGGCAGAAATAGAGGGTTGGATGACAGGGTGGGACCCCAGGTGTTAAAACCAGAAATAGTGTGGGTGTGGGCGGTGGGCTCTGAGATAGCACTGAACTTCCTATTTCTTGATTTTCTCTGCCTTTTCTCCAAATTGTGATAGATTCAATACCTGTCTCTTATTGACCCCAATTTTAAGCCTGGTGAGGGTTAAGGAAAGAGGGATGACATAAAGGTGGGAAGTGACCCACCCCTCTGACCACTCTTGTCTGATGAGGAAGACTCAGGCACGTTCCTGGGAGAGTTCCAAACCTGATGACAGGGACACAGGTACTGATCTGTGAAATCAGCAAGCACACTCTGACTCATGGGTCTTTGTACTTGCTGCTTTCTCTGTTTAAAATGTTATTCCTCAAGATATTCCCTACAGGGCGGCGCTTGTGGCTCAAAAGGGTAGGGTGCTGGCCCCATATGCCCAAGGTGACAGGTTTAAAACCAGCCCCGGCCAAAAAAAAAAAAGTATTTCCATCCAAGGGAGCCAGCTACAGCCCACAGCTACTTCAGAGGCTGAAGGGAG